TTAACATCTGGAGAAGACAAAAGCTGAAACAAATCCAGCATTAAGACGTTTTAAACTTCAAACCGTTGCTTCTAGACAAAATACGAGTCCATAATAACGCTTCCTCCCGTGAAAACAACTCTCACATCAAAATCCAGCCATATATTTGTTTAGAGCTGCTTTAGACTGTTTTGTCTTTGTATTTAATCTGTGCAGATTCCTCTCCTGATTCAGACCAGATGACTTTTTCACTGGAGGAAGCATTATTATGGATTATGGAGTTGTATTTTAGCTGAAAGCAACGGTTTGAAATGAAAAACATCTTGATGGATTTTGTTTCAGCTTTTGTCTTCTCCAGATGTTAACTGATGGACTGGAGTGCTGTGGATTACTTGTGGATTATTGTGATGTTTTTATCAGCTGTTTGGACTCTCATTCTGACGGCACCCATTCACTGCAGAGCATCCAAGTGATGCAGTGCTACATTTCTCCAAATCTGATGAAGAAACAAACTCATCCTAATCTTGCACGGCTCACCAGAGAACTTTTTTAAAAAAAAATTTTTTTAGCACATTTTCATTTTTGGAAGAACTATTCTTTTAAACGTCTTTTTTTTTTTTTTATTAGGAGGATGAATCATATGCAGTGTTATTTACGTTATTTTTTCCATGTCTACCAAACACTCATGTGACTTGTGCATATGAAAGTGAGGATCTACTGTCTCCAAAATATCATTTTATTGTGGTGAGGTTTTGTAGAGCAGGTCGTTTCCACATTGTCTGTTCTCTGAATCTCCTATTCGTCTGAATTAAACATCCTGTGCTGGAAATAAGCTTACATTTCCCATTAGCAATGGCCTGTAAACAGCCGCCCCGTGAGACCCGAACAATCAGCAGCGAATGGACATTTTCTGCTGCCGGTTGCACTATACTTTTTCTCTTGACCTTTCCTTAACAAACTTCATTTCTGCCATGGTTGGTTGTTTTTTCTTAATGAACAACACCTGATTAATCGGGACCATTCGTCTTGTTTTGTTGCAGGAAAACTGCTCTCTGTCTCTGTCTGGTTTGATTGGAAAATCTGTTGAATTTCTGCATTGATCGCTGCCTTGATTTGGTGTTGCTTTAAATTTGTGAATCGTTTGGCTTAGCTAAACTGAGGTAAATCTAGACAAAGCGGCAGAGGAGTGATTAAACATTGTACAGGCCCTTCTCACAATAAGCAATGCAATGGATTAGACTTTGGAAACTTTGTTTTATTTACTTTTAAGATTATAGTTTGATGAAGATGTCATATAAAGCAGACAGTGCTGATTTAACCAATCTGAGTTTCACTGTCATCTGATTGGCTGATATGACTTTGAAGGGCGGGATTTTGAAGGGAAGTTAGCAAAAACTTTGGCTTGGTTGGTTTGTAAAGCCCATTGGCTGCATTTAGAAAAAGCCTTTTTTCTTTAGTCCAATTGCCAACCATTCAAAATGACTTGTGTGTTTTGATCAAATATGCCAACAGTTATCAAAGACCTATACTTAATTGTGGCCTGTAGTGATTTGTAACATGGAAATGTTCAGGTGATTGACTCAAAACAACCTGAGCACATGAGCAACGATGGCAGATTGAGTATGTTCTGCACCAGCCAAGAAACATCCACTGAGATGAATGGGAAGGATTGAGAACTGCAGGTATTATGCATTACTTTCTTGAGCAAAATGGTTGAAATCATTTTGAGTTGATTTGCATATTGAATTGCGTGTGTGCATACTGAATTATGAGTGTCTTGCATCTGTTTAGCCATCTAGTCGGGCTAGATTTAATGTTTTGCAGAAAAAACAAGGCTTTGAGTGCTAAATGTGTGTGTGCAGAGCCGTTTGTCACTAGAAAATGTTTCACACGGGTATATTTTCAATTATTGAGTGTCAATTATAGAGTGTCAATTATTCAGATGACGCGACAATAATGCCAGCATTTTTTTTTTTCACAATAATGCCAAAGTACGACCCATTGGACAGACTGTTTATGTGAAATATTAAATATGGCGTCTATTGTGGTGGGAGTCGCTGCAAAGATGGTACTGCGCATGCGTATAGGCCTAATTCTTGTTGACAGCCAAGGAAAATCAAGAAAGGTACCATTCTTTTAAACGAATCTTTTTAGTGAATCGGTCGAACGGATAGCCTATTGCACATAGCTACGAGAGTAAATCAACATCGTTAACATTACTACTATAACCGGTATTAATAATTAACATTATTATTAGTGCTGTCAAACGATTAATCGCATACAAAATAAACGTTTTTGTTTGCATAATATGTGTGTTCTGTGTATATTTATTATGTATATATAAATACACATACATACAGTATATATTTTGAAAATATTTACATGTCTATTTATATTCATATAATTTATATAATAAATATATTTAATATATAAACAACATTTTTCTTAAATATATACATGCATGTGTGTGTATTTATATACAGTATACATCATAAATATACACCGTACACACACATATATTATGCAAACAAAAACTTTTATTTTACATACGATTAATCGCGATTAATCTTTTGACAGCACTAATTATTATGTAAGAAAAAACATGTGTATAAACAATTTCGCTCAGAAATCGCTAAATTTAACAATTTGCTGAAATAGTTTTTCACGTTTAAGCATCTTATGGCGACATTCACCACGATAGACACCCTAGTTAAATTTTTAATTTTCACTTTTTTTTTTTTTTACGTAAAACGTTTTATTTACAACTTTGGTATTTTAAAAGTTTTTGAATACAGATAAAACCGAATATAGCAATAAATTGGACGATAGCCTAAACTAAATTTCCTATGCAACCTATCTAACATCATAACATAAACATAATGATTAAACGGCAAGTTTGCAACGAAAACCAAATCTTCTGGGAAAGCTTTTTGTGTATCGGTTTTTAAATCGGTTTATCGAACGCCGATTCGGGTTCAAATGAATCGGTCTTCCGAACCATATACAATGCTAAAACTTACCACTTGCAAATTCAAATGCATCTTATTTAATGGAGTAGAACCCACGTTCTCCAAGTTTACTACCCCAACCCGCCACACGGTGGATGTGTCGGCTCGCTCTTGCGCGCGTTAATGACTCGCTCACCGCTGCTGCTGATCAAAGGCGTCTCCAGCAGACCGCCCAGGATAGTCGTGGAGTCACAGAGCTCTGTTTCTCCTTCTGTTTGCGGATCATAACGCCTTCATATCAAGGCGTTTACACCACGAGACTATCCCGCGGCGATCGGCGTTTATTTTCTTCCGTTCTTCTCTGGCGATAAACCAGGCGAGCGCGGAAGAGAGCGCGCAGTAACGGGAAGATACAGCGTGTTTTCATTAGGTCACATTTCCGAGGAATGATCCATCCATCTGCCGATCACGTTTTACGAGCGCACATATCCTTCTTCACGCATTGGACGTAGACTTTCGGAGCACAGGAGAGTTTTGGGCATGCACGGCGCGTAAACATAGGAACCCAACAGTTTTTAACAAACACTTGGACCGAAATCCGGCGTCTCGTCGCTTCGCTGACACTCTTGATTTGATCTCTGGATGTATTTTTGCAGCTCTTGTGTGCTGGAGTGGTGTGCACCGTGCCAAACGCGCATAGATGTTGTGAAATAACCCATGATGTTGCAGTTTTTGGCTGAGATGTGTCTTATTTCATTCACTGAACTTCAGTGTTGCTCTGTTTGGCCATGAGTCTTCAGCAGCAGCAGCATTAGAAAGCAGTTGTGTGTAACCACGTTGATGGCATTTTAATATGCACGAATGTGACGCTTTCAGTTCAGGAAGCTTCAGTTTAGTCTTCTAGTTGCGCATCATCTTCAGAAATCTGTATGATTGTAGGGACGTAGCATGGATTGTGATTTGATGTGTGACACATGCATGACATTATTGGACACTTTAATGCTGCTTTAAGTTCATAAAGCGTCATCATCATCTTCAGTGTGTTTGCAGGCATTTGCTTGTCTAGTAAGGTGTTTAATATGAATTATTGACACATGTTGGCTGTGCATACTAATATAGATTTCACAAATGCTGCTGTAACTTTTTAAAAGTGCATTTATGCTCATAAACGCATAATACCAGTTGAGCATCATTGCCATTTTCAGAAAGCAGTGTGTTTGCTGGCACTTTGCTTGCTTTTGAGACGTTTTAGTATTCATTAATGTAATGTCTTTTGGCTGTGCATATTATTATATGCTACTTAAATGCTGCTTTAACTTGATAGAGAACGTTTAAGTCCATATAGTTTCAATTTCGTGTCCTAGGTGGGCATTAACAGCGTGTAGATTGTTTTGGCTGTGCTTAACACACTCTGGCATTTAAGACCTTAGTCTCATTTCGGTCTCCCAGATGAGATGTTGCGTGACTGCTCTGAAACTAAAGGAAGCTGGTTTTGAAGCGGTGAGCGCGCAATGACGCTGTTGTTGTGCGCAAATGTGTTGACGCCACCTGTGGTCTCTTAAATCGATCGATTCAGGAAGATTTAGGCACTTTGACCAGGAGAGAGTTCAGTTAGCACGGCAGCCGCGTCGCTTGCGCTTTCTAACCAGGTTTAAGTGTGTATCGTCCTGCGTCACGCGTAAGTGGAGAGTTTAAATGGTGCTCCGAAAGTTACCCGGTGTTTCAGCATCGGGCATGGGGCTTCGCCTGTCTCAGAAATTCGTGTTTCTGCTGTTCCTGTCGGGGTTGGTTACTCTGTGCTTCGGGGCACTTTTCTTTCTCCCCGACACCGTGCGCCTCAAGCGCATCTTCCTCTCCAAGAACGAGAATCCCGCGGTGACAGTGGGCCACGACAATGAGCTTTCCAAAAAGGTGCCAGGGGATCCAGAGCATCAGCGGGTGGCTTTAAAAGGGGGCGAGGGGGCGAATGTCAAGCTCAAAGTGAGCCGCAAGCCCTCGGTCACCCATGGAGCGAGAACCGTGGAGAGATCTGTTGGGAGTAGAGCGCAGGAGGAGTGGAGTCCGGCGAGGGCGCAGGAACCGGCGGCCAGAGACGAGCGGGTCACCTCGGCCGCTCACAACGGGGAACGCGGCAGCGCTTACAGCTATGAGGCGTTTAAATCGTGTCTGCTCAAACCAGCTTTGGGGAGGAACCAGGGAACTCCACCGGATTCCGAGACGCTTCAGCGGAGGGAGAAAGTTAAAGAGGTGAGATGATCTGATGTCTATGGAAGCCCATTTCTGCCACATTAGCTTGGTTATTTATGGCATGCCATGTCATATGTATGGGATAAACGTCGAAACCATGACATACTGTGTCATAATTGTGAGAGAAAAAGTCGAAATGATCACAAAAGTAAAAAATATGTTAGATAAAACATTTTAAATCGGAGTTCTGATATTAAAGGTTAGAAATTATGACATAAAAAGGCAAAACAATGATATGTGATAACTATGAGATCAGAAGTCGAAAGTATGACATGCCATAATTATTAGAGGAAAAAGCTAGGAATTATCACATAGTAAGTCATCTATTAGTATGAAATAAAAAGTCAGAATTTTTTATAAATTGACATACTAAATCATGATTATGGCATAAAAAGTCAAAGTTATGACATACTAATCCATAATTATGAGATAAAATTGAAATTTCGACATACTGTTATAATTGGGCATACTAGCTCGTAATTATGGATTAGCAAGTCAGAATTATGACAAGTGAAAATGATTAGATAAAACGTTATCATTATGAGATAAAAAGTTGGAATTATGACAAAATGTTATGAATTATGACATGCTAAGCCATAATGCTGAGAGCAAGTTGGAATTATGACAAAATTAAAAATTATTAGATAAAACATTATTTTAATATAAGTTAGAATGGTGATGTACAATGTCATAATTATGGAATAAATGTCAAAATTATGATGTAATTGACAAGAAATTACACTTTTCATATCATAGTGACTTTTAATTTCCGAATTTCGACTTTTTATGATGTTTAATAATTTTCACTTGTCATAATTCTGACTTTTTATCCCATAATTATGACTTAGTAACTGATTTAGATGATTTCCCCCCCTCATATTTCAGAAATAGGCTTGCAGTTGTGTAGGCTAAAAGGCTGTAGATTTGAAACCTGTAAGATGAGTTACTCCAGTGGGATTGTGCCTGTAATAAGCGTCACTTGAGATAAGTGTTTGCTGAATGATGAATTGGTACTAAATTGCCTTGAAATTGAGGTGAACTGATATGAAGATGCCAGTGCTTTTAAGCTAAAGTTATTATGGAGTCGGGGCTAGTTGTCACACTTTTACTCCGGCGAACATCAGTCTGCGTGAACTGTCTTGGCTACAAAAAAGCTACTACTGTTACTGCACAGGAAAAATAGATTTGAACACACTGACCCCTGCAGCGGGGCATGTTGTCACACTCTTGTTCTTGCATATTATAGGCTTTGAAGGAAGACTGAAAGAGTGAAATGATTATGAAATGCAAAACAATTTCAAACCACTTGTCAACAAAGAAAGTTGCGTATAAAACACATGTGACAACTTGCCCCATACGTTTGGTTCCTTACCATAAGCTAGAATCCATAGAGTCTGCATGAGCAGATAATGACTGCTGTGTCACTTTCCTAACTGACACTGATCAGGGTGTGTTTGTGTGACTGCTGCTGGGTTGAATCCAGATAAAAGCCACCTTTGGTCTGCTTGCTTTGATATGTGTAATGCAGGCATTGACTGTGCCGCTGAAGGTTTGCTGTCTTCAGCTGAACGGATGATCGTTAGAGCTGTTTTTTTCTGTGCTGCTGAAAGCTCTTGCATCAGAATGAGTTTCGCTCTCACATGGGCACGAGAAAGCTGAAAATGCATACCCAACACGCTTTGGTTATTACTGAAACATGAGCTTTAGTGCTGCTTTTGCTTCTTTTTGTTTTGAGCATTGTGCTTTAGTGCTGTTAAAGTTCTCATTTCGGGTGATTTTCTCATAGATGTGAGAGTGCCGTTTATTCAGTTCCATATGGTTTCACTGTAGTTCAAGACTAAGGTCCAGCTGGCTGACATCATTGATTTCTCTAACTTACTGAAGTCAGACTTTGTGAAATGAGTAGCTGTAGAAACACAGTACATTCCCAGTGTGCAGTGAGCGTATCGAAATGTCTTTTTATGGCTATCTATAGCTGAAATTCTGCTTTGAATTTTCTATTGTGATATCATATTTCACAGTGTCAGAAGCGCTGGACGGGTTCCAGAGCCGCAGGGGGTTTAGAAAGCCACTGCTAGACTGGGTTTCTTACCTTGCTGTGGGGAGGAGTGGAAAATAAAAGGAAAATCAAGTAATCGACAACAGAACAAATATTTGAATAATTTGATGTCAACTTCAAACGTTGTTCGCAACCCACACTGAAAAAAATCCTGTTAAAAAAATTCACTATTAAAGTGTTTTGCATTGTGACGTTAATTTTACTATCAAACATAAATGCTTATTTTGCATAAATCAAGTCTAAATCAATGCATATTTTGCATAAGTAATATCAACATATTTTGCATTACAAAAATAGGGCCTATTTAGGACCATTATGATGTTCTGCACTCTAGAATTAATTTTAAGATCAATACTAATTTTGCATAAATCAAACATAAATCAGTATGTATTTTGCATAAAGAAAATGGTACCCGTTTTAGATGTTTTGCATTGTGGCGTTAACTTTTAATATCAACACTGATTTTGCATTACTCGATCATAAATCAATGCTTATGTTGCATAAATAATATCAACATATTTTGCAATGAAGTGTATTTTAGGACCATTATGATGTTTTGCATTGTAGTGTTAATTTTACCATCAATGCTATTTTTGCCTAAACTATGGCTGAAATGTTGTTCGCAACTCGCAGTGAAAAATATTTTGTGTAGAAACTATTTTTACTCAGAAATTGGTAGTAAATGTAACATTGAATTAAACATGAAATTAAGTAGAAAAACTGAAATGGTAATTTCTTGTGAAACGCACTCCAATAACTCAGGAGAAATCATATTTTACAGCACATTTAACTTTTGTGATCTGACATGAGTAAAAACAGATATTCAAAGACCTATTTAGTGCAGGGCTTAATTTTTTGCATCAGGAATTGATTGGATGGTCAACAAGTGGGTGTTACTTAAGTCAGGAAGGAGTTGAGAATCAGCAAATAAGGCAAACTGTTTCGGAGACCCAAGGCATTTTATGAAAATAAACCATTTTTAAAATTCAAAATAATGAAGAATCATCCGGATCGTGATTTGAAGTTAATTGCATGTTGAATGTGCCTGTTTGAATGTTGATGTGTATTAACCTGCGCTGACCTACTTGCATGCGATTTCAGTGATTCATGAAGGGTTTGCAGTGTTGCTATTAAAGCCACATGCTGAATTAACTATTTAGGTTGTGCTGTTTTTACACAGCGTTTGCCTCACAGATGCCTCTGGCTTCCCTCTGCGCCGCCTCCTGTCGGAGCCATGCATATTCATGTCTGACCTAATCATCATAAACAGCTCCATTAAATATTAATAATCCAGCAGACGAAGATCAGCTCTCCTGGAGAATCATTTCTCGACTGCTATGGTTCTCAAAAGCCATCGCTTTCTTACCTTTTGGGAGAAACTACAGATGGAAATAATGTCAATTACTTTTTGAAATGTGAACTCTGATCGTGTTAGCAGTCTTGGCAAACAGTGCATGCTGAAGTATGGTAGTTTTGCTCATTTGTCAAGCAAAGTTAATCTGTTCGGCCAATATTATTGAATTTGCATTCAGCAGGTGTTCAGCGCTGTGTGCTTTAGGCTTGAAGGACTCAAAAACAAGGACTGACTTTACATATGTTCTCCTTCAACCATCGGAACTATCAACAGTGAGTACGCTTGATGTGAACGAAGTCAAATATTGACCTTAGAGTTTCACTGATCCAAGTTGCAGTTTATTTAGGCTCAGAATCGCCTGCTAGGACTGGATCGGGTGGTTTGATTGACATGTGAAGCGACCAATCAGTGTTCGTTTCTCTTGTGTGACTTTCAAGAATGAGCTAATCTGAAACCAGATCTAACTAGTCTATTAAAACTGGTTTTGAAACACACATGATGTCAAAACTAGTTTTAGGAAGCATCATTGTAGCCATTTGGAAATTTGTGAATACTCAAGAATGGATCTCAAGAAAACATTTCAATGCAAAATTTAAGACTGATTGATAATTAAGAAAATTAAGCCTATTATAACGTTTCACCGTGTGGGGTTAATTTTAATATCACTGCTTATTTAGCCTGAATCAAACATAAATCAATGCTTATTTTGCATTAATAATATCAGCATATTTTTCATTAAGAAAACAAACCCTGTTTTTGGACCATTATGATGTTTTGCATCAATGCACCATTTGATGTTTAATGTGCCTTAATTTTAATTTCAGTGCTTAATAAATCAAACATAAATGAGTAGCTATTTTGCATAAATCAAATGCAAATCAATGCTTATTTTGCATAAATATTATCAAAATATTTTGCATAAAATGAACCCTGCTTCAGGACCATTATGGTTTTGCCTAGGTGTTAATTTTTAATATCAGTGCTTTTTGCATAAATCAAACAAATTGATGCTTATTTTGCATAAATCAATGCTTATTATAATACCATATTTTGAATAAAGAAAATAAAGCATGTTTTAAGCCCATTATGATTATGATTGCTTTTTTTTTGCATAAGATCAACATTTTGTGTAAAAATAAAAATAAAGGCCATTTTTGGTATCATTGTTTCTTTTGCATTGTGTCATTAATTTTAATATCAGTGCTTATTTCACATAAATCAATCATAAATCAATGCTTATGCATGAATCAAACAAATCAATGCTTATTTTGCGAATATAATATCAAAATGTTTTGCATAAAGAAAATAAATCCTTTTTTTAGGACCATTATGATGTTTTGCTTTGTAGCATTAATTTTAATATCAGTGCTTATTTTGCATATCACTTTTTTATTTTTATTAAGAAAATGAACCATATTGTTGGTCCTTTTTGCATTGTGCCAGTCATTTTACTATCAATGCTTATTTTGCATCAATCATGCATAAATCAATGTTTATTGATTAAAGAATATATTTTGCATAAAGAAAATGAAGTCTTTTTAGTACCATAATGATTTTCTTTTTTTGCATTGCATTGCAGCATTGATT